GGGGGGGGGGGGGGGGAGGACAGAGAGAGAGTCATGAATACTGAGAGCAGATAAATCATTGACTTTAGGACAGAGCAGCGTTTACTTTTAAAACACCTTCACACGTGCACTCACACTATAAAGGAGATCAGCCATGCACTATTGTCTTCCCGCAGCAGAGTCCAGATTTCTCCAGCCCCCCCCCCCCCCCCTCCCCCGCCCTTTTTGTTTTGTAACTTCTTTATGGTGTTTACATGAGATTTGCAGGAGTGCATAGTGGGCTGTGTTGACACTGTGCTCTCTCTATCAGTACACATCCGTTTGCTTTGGAGGTGAAGAAAGAGGACGACGAGGTCCCGTGCTGAGATTAGAGTTTCTCATCACGGGGGTTAAAGCGGGGTCAGGAGTCCACTCTCCTTTCTTCTGCCTAACACGTTATCAGGAATCATGCGAGGCCGTAAAAACTGACCTCCTCCTCGTGAGGAGAGGTTAAGATCTGATAGTGACTATCGGCCTGTCACTTAGAGCTGTGGAGAGTCAACTGTGCTGACTTTAAGGCTGGATGATCGATCCATCATGTGATACCACATCTATAGATCTGTGATTTCATTGATTGTGAGTATGGAAGAGTATCGAAGCTTTAAGAAAAACTTAATTCAATCAGATTTTAACCTAAAGCTCCGACATGTGGCTGCTTTCCCTCATGTCGTTCTCCTCACTGTCCTGTCTCTAAATAAAGCTCAATGATAAACCTTTAAAGTGTAACGCGAGCTCAGGTCATTAACTGTTGATTCATCAGACACTCAAGAATTTTAAATTAGATACTAATAAAAAAAATCCAAAGATACTGCCTGTTTCTAACCACAGCAAAAATAGGTAAGTCCCAGGCACCCAATAATGGGAACTTTCTTTGCTGGCAAACGTCTCCAAAGTGTCTAAATTGTTCAAATATATTGGCAACGTTTCTAATAATTCAGACATCTCTCTCTCTCTTTTTTTCTCCAGCAGATTTTGGTGTCAAAATATGAAGCTTTGGTAATCTCGATAAATCTATCACGGCAATAACAGTGCATGTTTTGTTTTAAAACAAGTGGTATCTAAACATATAGAACATTTTGATGATCCTATGAGATACCGAGTGTTGCTTTAACTCTATGAAGAATGAAGAAACACAGAAACACAGACTGCGTTCATGTGGACAGCTGGAGGAGAAACAAGAGAACACAGAACTACAGCCTGAGTTCACTCCATCACTGAAGAGAACGAGCTTCATGAGCAACAAAGACGAGCGTGTGTGTGTGTGTGTGTGTGTGTGTGTGTGTGTGTGTGTGTGTGTGGGGGGGGCGTTTCCCTCTTAAGACTGTTTGTCAATATGGGAGACCATATGTTTGTGTGTGAGACCATTTACACTAAAGGAAACTGCCGAAGGCGGAGGATTAGAAGCAGCTCTGAACTGCTCCCATTAAAAATCCACACATGTTGTGACACACACACACACACACACACACACACACACACACAATGTGTGCACAATGAATGCTGCTTCAGTGCGAGACAAGGGGCTTTGTAGACCAACTTCTTTGTCAGATTTGTCATTCATCTGTGTTTTGATCTTGAAATGAAGAAAGTGAAAAACAATCAAGGTGATTGGAGGAGAGAGGAGAGAGGAGAGAGGAGGCGTGGCCAAACAGCAGTTTGTTTTGGTTTCATGCTGCTGCTCATCTACTGGATCAAAAAGTCGCACGTTCTTTTCTTCCTATGTTGGTGAACGAGGCCCGATGTGCTCCAGTGATTATCAGAAAGAAGAAGGAACAGTGGAAGAGTTTTGGCACAGTTTGAATTAGATGAAGATGAAGACAGATCTATATCATTACACCATGATTGCTTTCCCTTGTCCAGACACTGAACGGACACTGAAGAAGCTGTGGTCAGGTGAAGCTGTGAGCGGGGGGGTTAACTCTAACTCCTCCCTGCCACTTATCCTCCAGTCCCAACAGACAAACAACCCGAGTTTCCCAGGCCGGGAGGAGGCTTCACCTGGGAACAGCTAAGATGTTCACCAGGGGGGGGTATACGAGGAGGGAAGTGAGGGTGGGAGGATGGGGGGGTTTATGGTTTCTCCCCCCTCTCTTTGCATTGCACTTATGCAATTACCGAAGAGGAAATGCCGACCGCGGCTGCTGCACTGAATGAAATAACAAAGGAGAGTTTACAATTTCCCAAATGGCTTGAAAGTAAATACCTGCAAAAAACCAGCATGACTCCCCGACGCTGGTTCAGACAAAGGTTCTAAAAACAAAGCAGCAAGAACAATGTTTTCTCTTTTTAACTGAGATGATCCAGAGATATAAAAAACTAAGAATCAGAATCAGCTTTATTGGCCAGGTGATTACACACACGAGGAAGTGTTCATCAGAGCGGCAGCCCGGGGGAAGAAACTGATCTGTAACGCCGGCCAGAGGAGAAGAGTTTGTGACCGGGCTGTGAGGACTCTGCAGTGATGCTAACCTGCACGTTTCCTGACCCTGGACCTGTAGAAGTCCTGGATGGAGGGGCAGGTCGGCACAGATGATTTATTTGTCCTGATTGTCTGTTTCAGTCTGTGTCTGAATTGGTTGCAGATCCAAAACCAGACCGTGATGGAGGAGCACAGAACAGGACTGGATGATGGCGCAGGTAAAACATAATGTTCAAAATAATGTTCTATACTTTACGCTACCACGTGTTTCAAATGATACGATCTGTGTCAAAAGCACCAAAGTTATAAAAAAAAAAAAACGACATCTATTTCATAAGGGAGGTTGCGTAAGAGAGGAATGAACCCGTCTTAAATTGCATGCAAATTCCTGCACACTGTCTAAAGTGTGCAGAATGCTGCCAATGTTTTCTGTGTATTTTAGACAGTGTGCAGGAGTTTGTCTGTAATATCTGCTATTTAAAATGAAAGAAATGACCCAATATTGGGACCCGACATTAAGTTGTTGTGGTATGGAAACAGATACTGTTATCGACTTCAAAATCACGGGAACCCATTTCTTAATACTTAAAGAAGATTTCATCGACTGGGTGCGGGTAATATCATCGTCTCCTCTGGGATGCGATCAGGAATCTGTGTAGCTAACGTGCCCTGAAGCTCATTTTGTAGCTGAGAACGACGTCACAATGGTGCATTGAATTTAAGTCTGGATTTAATCAAAAAGGGCCACAGGTGCTTGGAGCACTCCGTCTTTCACTCTAAAATGTTTCATTGTCAACACCTTCCTCTGACTGGAGGCGCCCCGCTGCTATGGAGTGTGAAAACCCAGCAGCACCGCGCTGTTTCACTGGCCGAAGAAGCACCAGGACGGCCCTCAGAGAGTATCAGGTCTCTGTGCACACATGGCAACATTCAGAGCGCCCGGACCAAGCGGAATAAATCATCAAGCATCTCTGAACGTCACACACGGCGACAGCAGACAGGTAAGACACGACGACACGATCTCAAAGGAGCAGAAAGATGACCGCTTTGACCCGTCTGTTCCTCAAGACAGGAAAACACTGAAGAGACAAAAACTCACAGAACATGTAAATGTTCACTAAGAGGGAACAACAGTTCAATCAGTGGCCCACCAGTCAGATCTGATCCTTTAGGAACCTCAGCCGTTTAATTATGTGCTCGGAAACTGTAGCAGTCTCGTGCATAGTCTATGATCGTGCACCGGTCACAGGAGGATATATAAACGTCACCACCTCCTCCTATTGGCTCGAGGTGAATTCTCTGGATAATATCCTGCTGTGTTCTCACATCAGCTCTCTCGAACTTGTTGCGGAAAAATACTACACCTCCTCCTGTACATATCAGGAGTTTGTCAGGAGTTTTCTGCAAGACTTCAAGAGGCAGAAATGAGTGACTCCTCACCGTGGTGCTTATGACATGAATGCGGGTAACATGAACAGAAGGTAATCCACCAAAGAAGAAGACAGCAGTCGTTGAAGGATGAAGCATGATAAGAGGTGAAACTGGCATCTAATTGCACCTATTGTCAGCCTTCATCTTTTAACTTCTTTTCTCTGCTGTTCAACATCCCGCTGTCTCTCTTTTATCCTGCTGTCTTCTTCTTCTTTGGCTAGTTAACCTCTGTTTATGTTCCCTTCATTCATCATAATCCCCACCCTGAGGAGTCATGAAGGGACACGTTGAGTCAAACTGACAGAGAAACATGTTTGGAGTGCTGTATTTATTCTTAGTGAAAACCATTAGAGAGCTGGGACTACCATTTTAATAATGTTGTTGCACGAGTCCGGACGAGGATATATTGTCGTATTGATAATTTTGTCATAAGTCCTCATGTCTTTTCTTTAGCACAGAATATTTCATTAACAGTTTTAACCCAGGCTGTTTAAGCAGAGAGGATTTAGGAGAGGTAAACTGAATACAAAACATAAATGCAACATTGTGTTTATTCAAATCAACCTGCTTCTAGTTTAAAAAGATACATTTTCAAAAATGTGAAATATGCAGGTCATGGGAGACTTAAATGCTTGTCCTCTTGGTACTTTATTTTAAAGCTGAATAATTGTACTGGCTTAAAAAATTATATTCTGCATTCTGGTTACAGTGTGTAGCATTATTTAGGCTGGTAAGCTCTGCAGTCTGCATCTGTCAAAGTTAGTGCACATTCTGCAGCAGTGTGGGAGGAAGAAGCTCAGGGTTAGACTGTGTGAACTGACAACTCTGATCACAAACATCCCAGTTACTCCCTTTCCTTCTGACCATCCATTCATGTTCTGTGGGGGGAACGGACATCCAGAGATATGTTTGAAGTGAAGCATGGACAGAAATCTGAGGAATTTCTACAGATGTCTTGGTGAGGACAAAAGACAGAAGTGGCAAAAAGACAGACAAGGAGAGGAGAGGAGAGGAGACAATGTGAGGGGAGGAGAGAAGAGGAGAGGAGAGGAGAGGAGAGGAGATGGAGGGGAGGAGAGGAGAGGAGAGGAGAGGAGACAATGTGAGGGGAGGAGAGGAGAGGAGAGGAGAGGAGAGGAGACAATGTGAGGGGAGGAGAGGAGAGGAGAGGAGAGGGAGGAAGAGGAGAGGAGAAAGAGGAAGAGGAGAGGAGAGGAGAGGGAGAGGGAGGAAGAGGAGAGGAGAGGAGAGTTATTTAATCATAAGATGGTCACTCAGGAGAGCTTCTGATGAGGACAGGAAAGTGAATGAAGAGACGAGAAGAGGCAAAGATACAGAAGAGGTAGAAGATAAATGTGGTGCAACCTCCAGTGCTGAAAAATGAAGCAAAAACGGAGTGCAGTTCCTCAAAGTGACCACTTGAGGCTGGCTGCAAAAGCCACTGAAGTCCCATGAACACCCATTCTAATGCTCATGTTGACAGAAGATAATTGTGCCCTAATGAGAGGATATAATAATAACCTTTATCAATGGGCACTTTTTAACTGACGGGAATGGAAAGTTACTGAAAGTGTATTAAAATAACAAAAAAAATCAAATCTGTTCTGAGGAAACTGAGGAGCACACACACACGTTAGTGATAACAGGTTAAAGCTGCTGTGTTTTCACGTGCGGACGACAGAGAAGATCATCAAACAGAAAAGGTCCTTACGGGTCAAAGCTAAGTGCCTCCTCACAGGAACGAGGAAAACTCTCATTAGTCTCTGTCTGTGTGAGCTCACAGGTGTGGACACCTGTGAGCCCTGAGTGTGACGGCTCCGTGCATCTTCAAGTGTTCAGAGCTGGGAGTCAAAGACGGGATTTCTGCTCAACTATAAATCTGTTAAAGCTGAATTTTGGAATGTTAGATTCTGCTCCTGAATGCTCTGGATTTGTTTGGACCAGAGAAGGTAGGCGGTTTTCAGACACCCCCCCCTCACGGCCGTTTTGGACGCCCCTCTGTTTGTCAGATATGAGAGCAGTTATCAGGTCAACAGGTGTTGCAGCGATGGAAGCGGGTCAAGAGAAGTGGTTCAGATAGAAGTGATTGTACCCGACCTAAAAAGCCTCTGCATGTTTCTAATAAGCTCCACGAGCAGAAACGTGCTCAAACTAGGATCAATATTGGAGATGCTTTTGAAAAATGGAGAGAGGTTAGAACACAGAAAGGTTTACAGACCCATGCAGAGCTGGATAAACACTGAAGCTTCAGAGTCCACCACATGGTGACCTGTGTGAGCATCGACTCTAGAGAGGTGGGGGCAGAGGGAGACAGCTCTCTATGATGTTTAGAATTTAGACTGCAGTACCCATTTTGAACACTAGGTGTCAGAGTTACATACTGCTCCTTTAATGATCCAGATCTCAATATTGATCAAAATAGCCATGATTATTATTTTGGTCCTACGCCAAAGGTCCTATAAGCTTCCAGAGGCTCAAATAGTCACCGGAGGACGGCCAATGGGTTCTAAGATTGAAAATGACAAATAACTGAGAAAAACAGTAAAAACACATGTTGGAGAGAATGGACACATTACAGTTAACTGTCACAAAAAGAATCAGGTCAAGTCATGGTCCATAATGGACAATTCTTTGCCTGCACTACACTGGTCTATGGTCCCATGTCCTGACAAACATCCTCATTAATGTATCAGCAGCCAGATGATTATTAATGGAGCTTTACAGATATGAGGCGTGCTTCCTAATATCTGTGAATAATGTCCTCGAGCACATACATTATCTGAAGTTCTTTGAACATCCAGGTCTAAATCCAATCTGCTTTAAGCCACACAGGGCTCAGCCGCCTGGAATCTCTGCTGTATTTCATTCCCATGCTTAAAGAAAAACGTGGACATGGTTAAGATGGGTGAGGAATGAGGGCAGCCACAGGGTTCAGACTGCCTGTCAGACCATGACAAGTCCTCACAGGGGGGGGGGGGGGGATAAAGAAGCAGCTATACGTCTGTAACCACTTCAGTGTACCGAGCTCATGGAGTTGTTAAAGAGGGACAGGGGTGAGCGAACACTTTATCAGCTCCTCCACAGCAGAAGAGGAATGAGTGAGGACGTGTTAATCCCCTTTGATTTGGGTAATCACTGTGTGAAGACAGAGAGAGAGAGAGAGAGCAGGAACACCGGGGACATTCTCAGTGAAGGTTTCCCTGCGTCAAAATTCTTTCTTGTTCTAAAATTAATATTCAAGTTCCTGAATTTTAACACGTTTCTGTCACTGCGTGTGGAGCGTTCCTCCCTCCTGAATCCCACTGTGACTGTTTGGCTTTGTTGACACACAATAAGCTTTCAGGAAGGACAGCAGGTGGACGGAGACATTCAGCTCCTCAAACCCGCCGACCTCTCCCCACAAACAGCAGCTTCTTCTTCTTCTCCGTCTGATCCGGCCTCTTACAAACAGCGCTACACACACACCGCCTAGTAAACCTCCTCCACCTTTCCCACAACATGGCCCAGATGTGACGGAGAGCCAGCTGCTTGTGTTTAGTAAACACGTCCACAAACCTCTGGATCATGACCGCCGGAGGATGTGAGCACGGAGGTGAGTCAGCGGAGCGAGACCACCTGCACACACCCAGCAGAAAAAGGGGGAGGCGGGGTTCAGCCCAAATATACACACACTTATGACCTTAAAGCATAAATATTTGCACGATGGGGAAACGTCCTCTTGTTTGTGAAGCACGGGCTCTGTGCAGGAGAGAAGAAGAGCTGGTGTTCAGCAGGGGTGGAAACACATATTGATAAGACAGTTTATCGTGTGATCTCTGGTTCCAATACATAAATACATAAAAGTGGAAGAAGTCAGGGGATAATGAAAAGTAAATGGGAAATGGACTTGAGATTACATGGCGCTTATAGTCTTCTGAGTGCTTTTACACCGCAGGTCACACCTACACATTCACACGCTGATGGCAGAAGCTGATATGTAAAGTGACCGTCAGAATCTCATTCCTACACATTCTGCTGATAACATGTCTACACTCATGCACTTTAACTTATGTCAATACTGTCCATTTACTACTCTGTTTTTACACATTTACATTTAATCTTTCATATTTAAGACTAGTAATGCAAAATTAAATCCTGGTTGTATATATTCTCATTCTTAGTTTTGATATTTTTAGTACTTATTTACTTTGTATTTAATATTATATTGTGTTTAAATTTGCTAACATTGTGTTTTTTGCTCATATTGTGTGTTTGGACAACCTGCTGCTGTAACGACACAATTTCCCAGTTTGGGATCAATAAAGTAAATTCTATTCTATTCTGTTCTATTTACACACCACTGACTGAGCAGCGGGAGCAATTCTTGGTTAAGTGTCTTGCCGAAGGACACATCGGACATGTTGCTGCAGGGGCTGGGGATCAAACCCTCAACCTTCCCATTGAGAGGCAACTGACACTGTGCCACAGCCGTTTAAGTATGAAGTGTGATTAGAGGTGAAACTCACACCAAATCCTGCACTTTACCTTTTTAAGGAGCATGTCCTTCATTTAAATCTTGATGTATCAATAAATGATTGTCTTGCAATATATCGACTATCGCTAAGTCTCTGTATCGTGGGCCTTGTATCTGGTATCATATCATGACTCACCTATGCAATTTCTACCCTTAGTGTTTGAAATCTTCTCTAAAAATGCACTAAAAATATATCCATTTAATTGATTTACCACAAACTTTAAAATCATCAACCTACCTTTGCTTAAAAGTGATTCAAGATGCATCTTGCAGGGATCAAGCAGGACCAAAGGGTGCTCTGAAGAAAACCCCCTGACAACCTGAGTTAGGAGCAGATGTTGAGCCCTGCACCTCCTGCACCTCCTGCTGCAGGTAAGAAAGAAAAGAGGAACCTGCACGCCTCACACACAGAGAGACAGTACAGGAGGTCTCAGGAGGAGCCGAGGGGACAACAATGGGGATGGGAGTCAGCAGAGCAAAGTGTGCTGCCAGCCAGCACAGGAAAAAGGAAACCGACTGTCAGGAAGACAATGGGACCTGGTAGATGGATGGAGATGGGAGTCGCTCTGCGCAGTCATGCATTGACATTAAAAACACAATAAGTTGCTGTTGGGTCTAAAAATAGAAACATGAGGTTACCATCAGAAGACACGGTATGATTCAAACATTCAAGAGACTCTCTTACCTTTTCTGATAGACTGAGGTGTGGGAAGCTGCGGTCCCGGATGAGTAGGTTTTGTAAAGTCCGGTCTTCCAGGTCCCGTCCACTAAGGTGCTCAGCCACAGGATCAGCACGGTCCAAAGCAAACTTTTCCTGCACAGCGCGGGCACGCTCTCCTGTTGGCGCGGTCCCATTTCCCGTGGCATCAAATGTACGGCCAGAAAAAAGTTTGAATGAGCCCGACTTCCACCCGGGTAGAAAGCAGACCGGTTTGTGACTCCAGCTCGGTGCGGTGGGAAGAGAAGTCAAACTGCACCGGGGCGGCTGGATGAGACGCACGTCATATTCACTAAAGTATACAACAACAAAATAAAGCAGGTCTGACTCTCGTTACTAAACTAAACCCCTTGGAGACCTAACGAAACGCCGTCACATAAGACCCCACTGCTCTACCTATGACAGACGTGAAAGTCAATCTGCGCGTCGTCCCGTCTCTGCTCTCTCTCCTGCAGCGGGCATGAAAGCACTTTTATAGTCTCTCCTCGGGTGTTTTAAAAAGCACAGCCTGCCTGCCTTGCTGCTGGCTCTCTTTCACCCTGCCCCGTTTCTACCTCTCACACAGTCAGAGGACAATGCGCGCTCATGGCACACTGAACATTACGCACTGTTTTTGTTCTGACTGAATTATGGGTCGAGCTTGTTAGAGGTTTCCTGAAATCACTGAAACTCAGTCGTTTGGTGATCAAATCTGCATATCAGTCGAATTATTGCTTAGTTGTACTTCTTTAACATGCAAAAAGTTGTATTTAAAGCTCATGTGGGGAGTTCTTATCTGGTTATGAAACAGCCTGAGATGAACACTGATGATTCTTCTGTATGACTAAAGAAAAAGAAAGAGTACAGGGAAGAAGATTTATGATTTCTTGATAGTTATTTTAATGTCAGATGACGAGATTAACAGCAAGGTGCAAATAAAACCTATTTTTCTTTTACATGTTCTGCAGTAGGATTTAGGCTTCATGAAAGTTTGATTAGATTTTCCATCAGAAAGCATTACGTGTACAGGACACGGTCAGCAAAGAGTTAACATGGTGCCAAAAGCAATGCAAATCAAAAGTTGCTCCACAGGAGCTTTAAAAGCCAAAGAGTAAGGATCTAAAATTTATTTTTCATGCTTTTAACATTCGCATTATCTAACTGAGGTGTTTTTTGTGGTCCGCAGCCTCTCTGCCAAAGCCATCGATGTATATGCAGACAGACAGACAGACAGACACACAGACAGACAGACAGACACACAGACACACAGACACACAGACAGACAGACAGACAGACAGACACACAGACACACACACACACACACAGACACACAGACACACACTCAGACAGACAGACAGACAGACACACACACACACAGACAGACAGACAGACAGACACACAGACACACAGACACACAGACAGACAGACAGACAGACAGACAGACAGTGGCAGCCCTGCAGCAGAACAGTTTAGGATACTGTAACGTCCCTGGACTCTTCCCTGTGGGACATGTAGTTTCACTGTGCAAGCAGCCCGCAAACCACAGAGCTGCGGTCCTGCTCCAAACTAAACACCTGGCACTGCAACCAAAAACTTTGGGCCCCGAGATGTATATCTGTGGTCGGGGTGACTACACCTCTCAGGCCCCAATGGTGAAGCTGCAAGGGCTTAGCAAGCTGCAACAAAGATGCTGCGAAGAGAACTTCAGCAACTGGCAAAAAATAGAGTTTAGAGATGGTGTTAACTGTTTGACACTCACATGAGGGCATTTCAGACTGCCACTAATCATCCTCCTGTTACTGCAGAGGGGAAAGCAGTGCATGCACTTAAGTCGGACAGAGTAACCCCCACCTGCTCTCAATCACAACTAACGGAAACTGTTTGGGATCTGGAGGGGGGGAAGGGCTGGAAAATGATGTGTCAGAGTTTTTTTTTGTTTCAGGGCACTCAGGGTATTTTACGAGTCCACTATGCGCAGGCAACAGTGCCAAGCAGGAACCGGAGCACTTCAGGGTTAATATAAATCCCCGCAGTCACGAGCAGCTGAAAATAATTTTGACCTCTGAAGGAGGGAGACGGAGGGGTCGGTTCCATTGAGAGTTCTCGAGTGGTTCCTCTCCTACTTGTATAGATTCTTCCCCCCTTTATTGTGCAAACAGAAGAAGGCCGGAGCACCTTTTGTCTGTGTAGGTGTGCGTTTACTCAAAGAGAGGGAAGGTTCGTTGAACAGCTCACCATTATTTCCCTCCTTTTTAAAAGGGAAACACAATTCCTCCCCTCCTGTGTTTCGGTCATAAACGTGTCCCTGATCTTCACTCTTTATGACAGTCGTACCAGTTCAAGCTGGAAAGAGACCAGTTTAACCTTTACCCTCTTTGCTATTCAGAGGGAAGACACAATACAGCAATGACAGGCATGACAGGGATCTCGTGTGAGGTGAGAGACTAAAGTAAATCTCTTCAGTTGAGTTTAGAGCCAGCACATGATTCCAGCTGCTCCTTCACAAAGCTACATGATATATATTACTACTCGTGCCAGGGCTCAAAACTTTCTCCGCTTTAATTTCTGTGACCTCACTGCAACACAAGCTTGCCAGATCCTCCGGGGGGAGTGTTTGATTTTCAGAGTAAACTTCACCTGCTGTTCATGCTGACCTCAGCAGCCTCGATTACTCAGCGCTGCACCAGATCTGTTTGCTAAATGTTACAATAAAGAATAAGCCGCTATTTATACTGCCGAGGAAAGCTGAAAAAGCTACTTGGGTGACTTGGAAAACTTTAGCAACCTTTTTGGTCAGTGGTACTTTTTCCACTGAGTGCAGCAGTTCATGTTCCCCTTACGACCGCAGCATCAATACTCAGCATCTACTGTCTGTACAAAACAAATATGATGAACACAATGCAAACCTTTATTCATTGTAAACAGTGGTAGACTTTTAGCCTCCTGAAGTTGTTTTACACTTCAGATGAAGCCCTGAGCTGCTGCCCAGTGTGAAGAGCTCAGTTCTGTTGTGTGCTGCCATCTAGTGAAAAAATAATGAAAGCTCAAATGATCCAACGTTTCATCTAGTTTTTATGTTTCAACCAATTTATTTTAAAAGCATGTTTCTACCTTTCATCATTAATGATTTGTTTCCATGTTATACGCGGTGTAGACAGAGGAATAAATGATTTTTTTGTTCCTCTGAGAGCAGAAATCCGGCATCATAAATATTAACTAACATGTTGGAACAGACTGCATAACGGCTAACCAGCTCAGTGAGGATGAGGCATTTCTTCAGTCAGCGTTGAGGCATAAGCAGACTCCCTGTAGCACCCAGTGGGAGATGTGCATGGTGGTGAACAGGTCGGCCTCAAACACCAACCCCACGCCCATCGCATTCCTCCGCAGGGACGTGGTGTACACGGGTGTCCGCAGTGTATTCTGTTGTGACAAACACAAGGAAATAAACAAGACAGGGTCTAGAAAATGTTTGTATTTAACACAGAGGCTTGTAGATCCTCACCTGTAACCTGAGGCGACGCGTCTCTATGGGGATGACTCTGAGAATGGGCAGTTCAACAACCAGAACTTTTGGTTTACTCTTCACGAGGCAGCCGTTTTCTGTATCCCAGTCTGCTCCCTCCAAATACAGGCCCGACACGAAGCAGCCTGCAGGGAGAAACATTCACTTCAGTCTTTTGGTCTTTTCACATAATACACAACAAAAACATTTCCTGAAATGTTTCCTCTGGTCCTGAATAGACCGTTTCTTTCAGGTTCCTTTGTTGCTTTCTTTATTTTGTTGCTTTCTTTATATATTATTTCTTTATATATGTATATATGTATACATATACGTATATATTTCTCTCTTGTGGACGTTGTGAAGTTGTTTTTTTCTTTTTTAATGTAATGTACAGCACTTTGGTCAGCTGTAGCTGTTTTTAAATGTGCTTTATAAATAAATATGACTTGACTTGAAATATTTTGGGGTCGCTGCATGTGTGAACACAAGTTTGGCACCCCAGACTTTCTCTTGCCTGCCCCCTGGTGACATTTTCGCATTAAGGGTGAGCCAGTGTGTGACGGAAGATTCTGGAGAATTCCCTGTGAGTAAGCGGCGAGGGTCGATGACGTTTACATGATGCAAGCGGGGATCGACCAGTGCGATCTCATTCTTTGATACGAATATGTCCAATTGCGCGCAGCACTGTTTAAGACGCAACTGTCATTATAGGGTTGGATGTGGGATGCAAGGAAAGTCTCCCGCTGTGAGGTGCATGTGTGAACAGGAAGATTTCAGGGGAAGGGTGTCGTTACATTTGTTTCTAGAAATCTTCAGGAGTGCATGTGTGACAGAAGGCCCCTCACCCTGTCCAGGTCTGTCACTGACTTCGTCGTCACTGCGGTACTGGGTCACCTGTGTGTACAGTGTGGACAGATCCAGAGGCCAACCGTTTTTCCTACAAGCTGCTTGGACCAGGGCAGTCAGGTAGGATTCTGGGATATGGAGTCCTGATAGCCACATGACCTTTGGCTCTCCCTTGTCCACCTGTTTAACAAAAAAAAAAAAATACAAAGAATTGTTAAGAAACAATACAGGAGAGTTTGTATCACTAGTACTGTCTGCTAACCGGCTTCTTCTTCTCAGTGGATTCAAGAGTACTTCTAGTTTTTTTTTTTATTGTAAAGTATTTATCTTTGATTTGTGTGTTCGATCTCACCCAGTAACTATACTGTTCAAAGCGCCTCTTAAAGTGGCCCATCCAGTTGCCGAGGGACTTCAGAGTGTCAGGTGCCAACTTCTTCCAAATAGCCGGGATGTGGCCGTTAAAAAGAGCCCGAGCGACCTCATCCAACTCACTGCTCATACCCACCTCACCAGCCAGCGCCTAGAGGACAAAAGAGCATCAGAACAGCTCCAATCTCTTTGTGTGTCCCCAGTACCATGTTGTTCCCTCACCCCCTTCCTCCTACTCACCCTCTGCAGCTCAGCCAGAGAGCGCTGCATTCGGACCACCAGTTTGTTGAAGCGCTCCAGTTCTTGAAGCAGCACCACCGTGGTCGGGGAGACGTCGGCGCCAAACTTTTTACGGATCACGTCCATGTCGTAAAGCTTGGGCAGCTTGTTCTGGATGTCCTGAGCCACCTGGCTGATGTACTCATCTCTACTGATGCTTCCACCAGAATCCCCTGAGGAGTGAGAAAAGGCCAAAAGAGAGGAAACACTTTTGCAAAATAAAAGGTTTTATGTAGCTTTTTTTCCCCATCTTTTGAATAAACCTTGTTGCAGGGGATTAAAAAATCCTACCTGTCTGAGGCTGCAGGTCGATGAGGTGGGTCCACATGTCCTTAGCAGCCTGAGTGTAGTATCCTATCTCTGCGTTGGAGTGAAGACCCATAACCTCTGGTGTGTTTGCCAGCGGCAGGGATTCAATCTCATCTATGACAGAAAACAGGCCGAAGCTGTGAGTGGTGAGAGAAAATACAACTTCTCAAAGAAAGAATAGAAAAGGGATTAAAATAATTACGGACCAACATATGCACTCTTAGGCCCATTCGGAGGGATTTTGTAATCGACATCCTTGTTGCTGAAAAAGTGGAAGGCTCGGAAGGTGTAGAAGAGGAAGTCTCCGAGGTACTCATCCATGTAGACAGTCAGGATCCTGCGGTCGAAGCTATCTATGGCTCGCCCACCATACATCACCTACAAAACATTATTCAGGTAAAGAAAACTTACTGCATCAGCTAGGTACAAATGTAGATATTTTATTTTAGTAGAGTCAATAAATTCAGCCTGACCTCCCCAACCAGGTATTTAAGGCTTCCCCACGGGATATTACTGTCTCCCTGGTTGTGAGCTTTAGTCAGGTAGGTGTTTAGGATCTCCATACACACCTGTTGATGATGTAAAAATCATTGAACAGTGAAACATAAATGATAATACGCAACTTTAACTTAAAAGAATCAGTGTGAATGTGGCCCCTACTAAGAAGTCGGACTCGTTGAAGTCGTAGGGGACGTTCCAGCCAATCTTGCCGTACTTGCGTCTCTCTTGGACGACAGCGTGGAAGAAGGCGAGCACGTACACCAGGCTGCGGAAAGCCGGGTGTGGACACTGAGTCAAGGTCTCATGGGAGATTTTAGAGAACGTGGCTCTCATGTTCAGCTTGAGGCCGTTGGGAGGCTCCGTCACCACCTGCACACAATAACACAGTACATGTTAAAATACTCTGTTTTTAATGTTGTTTCTCAGAAAATGTTCACCATCAAACAGACTTTCTCAAAAATAGAATATCCAGATAAACGTTTCACTTAGAGTTCCTCGTGAAGTTGCCCTTTCTTTGTGATCACTTTGTTGTATTGGAAAGGAAGCAAAGTCATATGTCCAACACATTTCTTAAGCCCTCTCTGCAAAGGGGAAAATCAACAAACAATATCAAACCAAACACTGCTGAAGGTAAAGAGAGTTTCACCTTTAGAGACTTCTGTAGAATGCCAATTGGGAAATCCAGAATGGGGTTGGTGGTGATCCACAAGCGGAAGCTGGAGTGGGGCTTGGTGATCCTCTCTAAGGACTTCTCCAAATCTTTGAGCCATTTAACCAGCAGGTGGCAGTTCTGCAGCATCAACCACTGACCACGGGCCACCGCTATCTTCAGCAACTGCAGCGCCACCTTGATCACAGAGGAAAAACACCCGCTTATCTTTTTAAAGCTACAGCAGCCAACATTATTTTATTCGACATTTTGGTTAAAATAACACATTTCCGTGGTTGCATGTCACAAACAATATCAAATTAAAGATTTTCTTTAAATAAATGTGCATCTGATACATGTCTGTGAGCACCTGTACCTTTGTGTTTAGCTTTTAAAAAACTAACCCAGTCTGAATTAAACAACCAATCAGGGTTAGCTTGCATGTAATTAGCCAATCACATGCATCAACCAATGCATCATCCAGCGTCTACATTCTTTGTCAGCAACTCTCTCTCTAGTGCTGAGAGCATTAAAGCTGTGCAGCACACACCTATTGCTACTTTTAACCTTTTTTTCAGATGTATTTTAATCGGTTGATAGTGTTTCTGTCCTCTGATTGCGACATAACTAGAGTGCAACAGACAGTTTGGATTGATTGATTGATTGAAGCGGAGTGATTTGAGGTAGCAAAGAGGGAAGTGGAAGCTTTTTTCCATTGAAAATGTTTATGTTGCTTTCTGCCACTTTAATGTTACAAAGTTTGATCACACAGTGACACTATACAGGTTTCGATTGACCACACTCAAAGCTTCACATGTTGGTTAAGTCTTCAGTACCTTCTCTTGGCCTTGGCCCATAGCGAGGAACTTGAACTTGCTTCCTTCAAAGCCAGACCTCTCTGCTAGCTTCATGAGGTCACTTCCTGGGTCGGAGCCGGGGCTCAGGATGAACACAATCGGGGAGAAAGGTGTGCTCTGCTCATAGATTGTATCATAGCTGATCACAGGAGGCTGTACGTATCTGGACAGGATTACAAGAAAACAGAGCCTGGTGAAATATCTGTATCTTCTGTAAACTTATGACAGCAGATAGAGTTTATTTTCTGTTGGTGATAGTTAGTGCATTAATATTTGGAATAAAAACGGTCTCACTTCTCGCCCATGGTGACCGTGACGTAGTCGGTCACAGCTCTGTAGACTCTGTCGACACGAAAGCAGCGCAGCAGGAGCAGCTTCTGAAAGGCCGACAGGCTCTCGTCGTATTTCATGGGGAATGTAGCCTGCTCAGGACCATCTAAGTCGTACCACTGAGGAGAAAACAACAACAGTTGTACTCTTAATGGATGAGGTTTGATGCTAATGGTGATTCCAGTCGCTATAGTCACTTACAGACTTCCAGTCAGTGGAATTTTTCTCCACATCGTCAGGCAGAGAGCCAAACTGCTCAGGAAAGAGCTCTGCCAGTTTCACTATGTCCTCCCAGCCCTGACCCGGGAGCCAGTCACACGGCTTTTTGCGTGTGCTCTTTTCCAGGGATAGATTTCCTAAAGAAACATGAGAAAATACATGTTGAGGGTTGTCTGCTTACACGTTTTTTTTTTTACATTTTTGTTTTAGATTACTGTAATCCTCTTAATCATGAAAAGGAGTTCAACTTTCTCTGCATATCTCACCCTTAATAAAAAACTCCAGCTCCTCCTGAGGAGCCCTCCCCTCCGCCTGCTCTATCTTGATGGTCATATTGAAGGAAAAGAGCAGCTTGTGTCTCTCAAACAGACCTGAGGACATTTTCAGGTTTTAACATTCACACAGTAACAATAAATACTGTGCTTGTCTTGTTTTATAGCCATTGTTATGTTACCTGTGCACCCGTAGTTGTAGACGTTGTACGTCAGAGTGCTCATGATGTTCTTCAGTCTTCGGGGCAGGACAGAGTTGGAAAGAGATTTGCGCAGAGAAAAATCAAACACTTCCAGGTATGAGGCCAGAGAGTACTGGTACATGCTGTTCACCAGAGCCATTTCTGTCAGCACGAAGAACAGGATGGCACCGCGCTTGGCAGCCGGTCGGTAACCATCTCTGAGTTCATCGATGTTCCTGGCTGTCTCCTCAGCCAACTTCAGTTTCTCAAACACCTGGTGATCACAACATCACACAAATGAAAGTAGAAATAAAACCTTTTGTAAAATTGTCTTATTCACGGTTTCTTGTTGAGAAACTCACCTCGCTGGATTTGGACTTAGTTTCCTCCAACGTGTAAACCAGCTCTGTGTTATCCAGCATGTTTCCTGTAGATGTGGCCAGCTCTCTGAGCAGCGAGTCCCCGAGGTTCTTCAGCAGCTTCTTGTTGTTGCTTGTCTCTTGGATCAAGTGCTCACGCTGCTCCTCCAGCTCCTTCTTCTCGAAGCCCATGATAACACTCAGCAGCTGGTCCTCCAGGCCCTTCAGTGTCACTACATGTAAATGTAGATACAATGAATGACTGTGTACATGTCGTTCAAGCGGTCCTGTGGTTGTCATGCTGAAGGATCTTACCTGTATAGTTGATGACCATGGCTTTTCCAAACACTGAAGGGGAATATTTGGGGTTGGACAGCTTTGTGTTGAGGTACAGTTTAAAGTTGGGATCAAAGTCAACCTCCTTGTCGCCCAGCATGATGACCTGCCTGCCCTCTGCTCCTTTAACATTCCTCTCCAGGACGGTATCAATCACGGGGTCGATGTATTCATCCACATCTTGGAAAAGGAAAGGGAAGCCATATTTGATGGCCATCTCAAGGTGCTTCAGGAAGTCTGGATCGTTGAAAGATGAAATCTGGGGACAAAAACAGTGTGGTAAGGACAACATGTTGTGAGTCTTTCTAGTTGTCAGATATGGGAAACAAGTCATCCTGACACTTTTGGAGTGATGACATCATATTATCAGAACTGGCATGAGGCTTTTTGTACCTTGAGGTTGTTGTTTTCTTCTTTCTTCTTAATCCAGTTGAGGGCTTGTTGTTGAGGGTCGATGCACAGTGGAAATCTGCACCCTCTGGTTGTGAGGATTCCGTTCTGCACTGACAGCTCATCTGGAGGCAAGCCCTCTGAGCCCCATCTGTCACAGAGGAGTTGTTTGACACATAGTCAGCCACACACAGTGTTCAGTTCCAGCGGGAAAAAAAATGTTTCGAGTTTCAAGAAACCTTAGTTAGCCCTCACTTGCTGATTTCAACCTCATCAGTTAGAAGGCTTTCTATTCTGAAAGGCTGACTCAAGGGGATTCCTCTCTCCTGTACATCTTTGACCCACACTTCGTAAACCATTTCATTCCTAAAATCCCAGCTGAAGGCCCCCTCGTAGCTCAGGAAAGCAGCAGAGATCAGGCAGTCGCCCAGGAGACGCACACGCCGCTGCTTCAGCTCCTCCAAATCCTGAGTCCATCTGAGTGTGGATAAGTCAAACAAATGATTGATGGAGAAAGAAGGAGACAATTAGATTTTGATTTAACTGAAACAAATATTCAGCTCTTTGCCGTTTTTGTCAGTGTCGTTGTCGAAAGTATTGTGACCGGATTTGTTGTCTTTTTCAGCCTCACCGTTCATTCTCGGAGCTCAGGCCTGATATTAGTTTGTCAGCAGCTATCAGCCTCCTCTCCATGAGCTCTGCCTCCTCTTGCAGCATATCTTTCTCAGTGAGGGCAGCTTGGTACTTCTCTCCAAGAGTCTGCAACTCTTTCTGGATATTACTGAGCTCGCTCTGAATGCCCTCAAACTCGTGCTTACTCCGAAAGAAATTCTTCTCCAGACGTGCCACCTGAAAAAAACATCATACATTGCTATTATTAAATCTGCCTTCCTTCTTCCATAGCATAACGCTACGGGACTATATATAAGATTACCTTCTCTCTCTTCGGTTTGATCTCCCTGGCAACCTCGCAGTAACCCATGATGGCCTCGACAAACTTAAACATTCCTGATCCAGCCTTACTGATCGCCTGCATCTCCTCAATGCTCGTCTGGAGATTCTTCAGGAAGCCTTTGACAGAGGAAATAACAAAGTGAGAAAACATCTGTGGCATACCTACCACGTGCAGATGCCTCTGCTATACACAGCACATTGGTGTTATTTATTCTACGACTTACCTTTGACAGTCCTGACCTGGTTGTTACTTATGGAATCACAGTCCATCTCCATCAGAGAGCGCAAGAAGTTAGCCTCTGACATCATTCCTTTAGCCGCCTGCCAGCTGACATCCTTGTGGCCACGCATGACCAGAATGCACTCGCAGACTACCTGCACCTGTTTGGGTGGCTTGGCAAAGGATCTGCACGATGGGACCATCAGGAGAAGGCAGACAGAGGTAAAGGGGAGATATACAGTTTGCATTAAGTTTGCTTTTTCTGGTTGGGTATGCAAAGACTGGGTATTGAACTTACCGGATCTCTGTGACGTCAGACTTTTCTAGGTCTTGCAGGGCCAGGCGAGCCGCCTCTAACGCCGGCAGAGCTTCAGCGAGGGAACTTTCTGCTTCTTTCTTCTCAACTGCTATCACCTTGTTCTGCTCTTCGATCTCTTTGGCTTTGTCTTCTGCCAGAGTCTTTTTCTCCTCAGCTACAAGGGCATGTCATTGATGAGTGCTTTGCAACATCTGTGTTTAGTGTCATAATCCTACTGATAGTACGAATTTTCATGAATTCATACATTTTGGTAACTTTGTGAATGAACCATTTAAATCTGTCTACCATCTAAGAGTAACTCTTCTCTTAAGTTGAAGCTGTAACCATGTAAAACATCTCATAGCAGCAGAGTTATAGGTTTGCTAAGAATGAAATGTATATGTCTGACATTTACGAGTCAAGCTGATGTCTTCTTTCTTGCTTTAAAGATGTACCAAAGTAGCCAAGAATTTGTAGGATGTACCTTCTAGCAGAATATAAGCAAGTCTGTTAACATAGAAACTTTGTCAGCACTTTGTCAGTTTGTGATTGTTAACAAATTGTGTTCTGTTGTAACTGTCTGACCTCGGACAATTAAACCGCGTTATAATCCACAGTCTGTTTCGCGATTTCATCATTGAATTTATACAGCAGCAACAACCCCCACCCAACACCTACAATACGTAGTTTTTTATATAATCCCTAGTTAAGGGAGGCAGGTACTCACTGACCTATTGTTGTGTTTGTGCTGATCTCATCCAACAGGGTCTCACAGGCTGTGGACTTTTCAGCAAGAATCACCTTCTGGTCTGCCAGCTTGACATTCAGCTTGGCTAGCTGCTCACTGGCCTCCTTCAGTTTATCCAAACCGCCCTCCAGACGTTTGCACTGAGCTGGTGCAGGAGCGAACAAGTCAACAAAACAAAGTGTCTGAAATCATCACAACTTATCAAAAACAAAGCAGCTGTGCAGCCTTTCCCACAGAGGGAGCAAATGCTGTTCCATTTTCCATTTTCTCACCCAGGATGTATTGGTCCTTTTCCTCCAGGAGGTTGGTGTATGCGTTAATGAAGTCCAAGTAATTCTTTGGAGTAACAAAGTTACAACGTCTGAGTTTTTGCAGGAATAGCTTGCTGTAGTTGCCCACAGAGCTGTGCACCATGCATACATGAGCTATCACAGCTGCAGAGTGTTCTTCAGGAATCATTGCACTTTCACCTAAAATAATAATAAAATTTGGTGAACAATCCCCTCCTTAGCTCTCAGCTAAAGAAAGCCAATAAAACAAACTTTAAAAAAAAAGACAACATTATGTGAAAATACACACCAAGGAAAGACTGAGCCACTGCAAGCAAAGCCTGTGGAGGCCATGGCAGGAACCAGTCTATCACTGTGTTGTTCATCAGTCCTGAGAAAACAAACATGAACACAGTTTGTCAAAAACAATCAGAAATTGAATTAAAATCAAGTGAAACCTGACATCGTGTTTCACCTGGGAAGTTCCTGCAGCGTGTCCTCAGGGTGTCTCCCACTGGAGACATGCCTAAAACGATGTGCAGATTGTTGGCACTCTTGTTGACAAAGTACTGCCAAATACTCTCTTTAGAGGGACCTGATCCCATGTTAAGAGCTTCTTCACGTAGCTGGTTGAGGACCGACTCTTTCTCATCATCAGGGAACAACGCAGGGACGATGCCTAGAAATAGGGCATGATCAGAGTATCACAGCTGCAGCTTTTTAAAAAAAAGATGAACCTGTTGTGATTCCAGGAGGTTTAAATGACATCCAACCTGATGTGAGCATGTTGTTAATAAGCTCCAGGAAGCCTTCCTCAGCCACATGTGCATCAGTGAAGAGGAACACGGTCTTCTTATTTTCAATGCCGAGCTTCAGGTACAGTGTTTTCAGGTCATCACGGAGGTTTGACTCACAGTATCCTCTGCTCAGTGTTATCTCAAACACCTGCGGAAAGCAACATTTATTACTGGAGGATGGAGATTTATTTTCAAATATTTAGCAAGATGCGATTTTGACAAATATAAAGTTAAAATCACTCAAATATATGTCCATATATGGGTATAATTTATGACACTTAATCTCCAGCTCTGAAGTTTAAATGCTGTGGAACACATCATCACCTAAAACTTTATGTCTGACTTCCTTGTTCATTGAAGCTATGATTGTACCGAGTCAAAAAATCCAAACATAGGGCAATATTATTATGGCAGATAATTAGTCAAGTGATGTACAAGTTAACGGGTCTATTTACTCTGCCCTAATTGTTTCTGCAGCACATGTGACTTTTATCTTTTCATCTTTCAAATCTCGGGTTTGTGTTTTACAACCTCACAGCCGGCAGTGAAAGCAGCAAGTTTGGTGAGGGACTGCTTGCCGGAGCCCCCGACACCAACGAGCAGGGCGTGGCCTCGTTCTATGCGGATGATGCGGTGAACCCGGGTCAGATGTTCCAGAGCGTCATCAAACAGCACCAGGTTCATCCTGGACATGTTCTCGTTGTACTCCTCCAAAATCTCCTGCAGGATGCAAAAATATGTCTTTTAGGTCTTTAAGTAAACAATGAAACAGAGTTTAAGAGATTTTTTTAATATCATTGTAATATTCAAATCCATAAAGAACATCACTGCACAATTAATATCATATTGAATAACTTGATATGATGCTCATTCTTACGCCTTGGCTTTTAGTGCTGCATTAGAGATGTCTTATCTTTTTCCTATTGGCCTTTTGCAGCTTTAACTTCTTTTATTGTCTTGTTTTTATATTTGTCTTAGTGTGTTGTTTTGATGGATTTGATGTTTGAATGTGGTCGACCCTTGCTGGTTTTAAACGTGCTTTATAAATACATTTGTATTAGACAGCGTTGGCTTTAACCTGAAACAGGGCTTTTGAAGCATCATAGTCCTGCATGTCCTCGTAGACCCTCGGTTCAGTCTCACTGAGGGCCATCCTGTAGTCTCCAAAAAGAATTGGGTCCCTCATGACTGCCTCCGTGTCCGACCTGAAATGCTCCTCAATCAGGTTCTTTATGTGTCCTTGGACCTGGAAGTAACAAAGAGTGTTGGGTTCATTTGAAAAAGGAAAGACACAACTACAAAACTGTGTTAGTATACTCCAACTTTAGTATTGTTAAAATCAGTTCAATATCCTGCAGTTTATTCCTGCAGTCAATATATAGGGGAGAGCACTGTACATTGTTTGAACTATAATGGTTAAATTACCAAGGCTTTGTCAGTTTGATCAATGAGCCTGTCATGGAAGATTCTCAGGCACTCATTCCTCCAGACACGCACAAACTGGGTGACAGTTAGAAACCTGTTGGAGAGAAATGAGTCAAACAACATTAGAAACTCAAGAGGGTTTTTTTTTCTGTGAACAGAGTGAAAGTGTTAGCAACAGACCTGTCAGGTTTGGTCAGGGTCAGCCCATTGTACACTCGCGACAGGTCCCTCAGGTTGAAGATGTAGTGGAACTTGGAGGGAGTGGGCGGCAGATCTTTGATGATGTTGTTGTACAGTTCCAGCGTGCAGACGATGACTTTATCACAAGCCTTCTGTATGGCGTCCTCAAATGGCTGAAATATTGTCAGGTTAAATAAATCTATATGATATGGACTATTCTGATATGTATTGATTTGTGTAGTATGAGGGACTCACTCTAGTGTGGCCTTTGATAATGGAAGCATAGATGAGCTTGAGGGACTCCAGTGCAGGGAAGGGGATGCTGAAGACACTGAAGAGGGAAACAAAGCGGGTATCCACCTCGTTCCTCCCGCCTCCTGCCTTTCCCATGGCAGCTATGAAGCCGAGGTCTTTGAGGATTTTGTAGTTGAGCTCCTTCCCTCTGTCATAAATGCCTCCTCGGTTCAATAACAGCTTGAGAAGGGCGATAGGCTGCTGTGTTCCGTAACTATCCACCTGGGTAAGCAAAGGGTTAAAAACATGTTAATCAAATAAGCACTTAGGTTAGTCATGATATTAGAATCAACTCAATATTAGTTAACTTCTTGTTTTCAATTATCAAAAATTGCAAGAAATTCCCAGCACACTTTCTAAATTGCATAAATACATTGGCAACGTTTTGGTCCCACACCTGCACTGCACCTGTCTTATGAAACACATGTAGTTATTATCTATCTATTATTAAAACAACAAAGATTGTATTGTTTTAAACATGTTGAATCAGAAAAGTAGGGCAAAGTATGACAACCTTACAATCACCGAGTGTCTACCTTTGGCATGTTCATGTCATCCATAAAGACCAGCAGTCGCTTTCCAATCGGGGGTCCGTAGATCTCTTTGGTCCTCTTCTCCACATTGGCCTCCAGGTTCCGCTGCAGGTCCATTGAAGTTGTTCTAGATGAGAAGTTGATGATAAGAGTGATCTAGGAAGAGAAAAAGAAGAATTTAAATTATAGGTACATATCAAGAATAATCCCGCAACGATGGTTAGATGGAAAACTGACTGTTGTATCTGCATTCAGGTTCTTCAGGAAGTTAAGGATGGTGGCGGTCTTGGAGGTGCCGGACTCTCCGACTAGAAGCACAGGCCTCTTAATCTTCACCATCTGTTCCAGGATCCAGCTGGCTCGGGTGGTGTCGATAGTCGGCACTTAAGTAAAGATGGAGGAGGAGGGAATCAAAGTGGAAAATCAAATATGCAGTACGCAGACAAGACACTTGATTAGTCCGCCTCACAGTGCGCAGAATGAACCTTTACCTAGAATATCAGCAAACTTCATTTGAGGGTTGTGGATGTATTTGGTGACGAGAGAACTCCAGGGGACCCACTTCTGCTGCGTTCCATCAAAGTGGAACTCATACAGGGTTGGGAGGTATCCTGGATTAATGCAAACACTTTGTTATCAGAAATGAGACAGAAAAATGGCCGACCAGCAAGTTTAATCACACCTGGATATATGCATGAGCACATGTTTTCTGAGTGATGTTGAATCTCTGAATCTCCATCCGGCCAAAAACCGAGTACCGTTTGCCACGACATTGATTTCATAGTTATCTCAGTACAAATTCTTGCTTCTTACCTGGGATCTCACCCGGTCCAGCCAGACTCCTCTCATCATGCACTGCGGTTAAACAGGAAAGCTTTTTGATGAACTCGTCAAACTTGATCCTGCTGGACTCCAGCAGTGTGGCCCCGAGGGAACAGTACAGAGCTTCCAGGAAGTAACACTCCATGACATCAGCACTGCTGGGCTCACCCTCCAGCAGTGCATCCAGTGTCAAGCACAGCTGGGTCACCTGAATGCACCACCAACGCATAAAGAATTCATCCAAGACAGTGCACTAGTCATGCCTAACGATCATCTTATCATTTCAGCATTCCTACACTGGATTACTTTTGAGAGGGGTGGGATGACCTTACCATGTTCAGATCTGTCTGAGGCACGATAGTCTTCAGTTTCTGTCCCTGTTTGCCGTCAACAATACCGTCCACAATCATGTCGATGGAGCTGTGCACATATTTCTCAAACAATTTGTTCAGCACTTCTTGTTCCTGGCAAAAACAAAGACAGGGTTGAGATGTTTGTTATACTGTTAAATTATAAGGAAGTATTATAATTCCAAAGTGTTTTTTAATTCTCATACCCCTCCAGGTCTGTCGATCACCCATCTCTGCCAGTACGGGGAGAACCGCAGGTTTTTTGGGTCGACAAAAACCATCCCGCAGCGGGAAACAGTAGCAGGAGAGGCGTACTGCAGATCACCAACCTGAAATGATCCAATTCATCATGCTCTGAAAAGTCGCTTTGCACAAATTTGCGTTGACATGTGTTGACAGAAAACTTGAAAATTCAGAGAAACCTCGAACAGCAAGGCACAGTGATTCTGCAAACGGATCCGTTCTCCATTGGCGAGAGTGAGGAGCCTGTTGTCATCCATTACCGAGTTCATATTCTCCACCCATAGAGCATCCACGTCGCCATCAAACAGGATGTACCTGTGAGTCAAAGTGCATGATTTATGTGTATTCCAGAGAAATTCTATCTTATTTTGTAACATGTTCAATACATGTGTGGCATACTGCAGATCTAAGTCAACTGACTGATTAAATGCCTCCTTTGTTCCTCTTTACCTCCGCTCTTTTTTGTCAGTGGGCTTGTTGATGTCCCGAAAGATGTTGGATAAGATCCCATCAGTCCAGTCTCGAGTTTCAGGGTCCAAAATACCGTAAAGTTCGATGACACTCATGGCTTTAGGGTTCAGAGGATACATCTTGGTGTGCAAACTCAATCTGATGATGGGATAAAATAAATGTTAATATTGTGTACACAAGAGTTTAAAGTGGTGTAAATCTAGTGGGTGTAAACTATGTCTGCATGTACTTGGTTTGAGCTTGACATAAGGTGTTGATCACAACTGATTTCCCTCCTCCTGTTGGGCCAACAATCATGGTAGTATGTCTGGTCATCATCGTCTCATACAACTGCACCACTTTATCCACCTGGAACCAACAGACCGCACAAAGTAAAGGGTGTAGCTATCAACCAAAAAAACAAACAAATCTGAGACCCTGATAACTCACCTGGTTAGCGATTAGGACATATTTGTTGTCTTGTAGGATCTCTTCCACAGCGTCATTGAAGTTTGGATAGCGTACACGAGGACAGTCCAGCCCAGGGAACAGATCTGAGATCAGCCCGAGGAATAGAGGCACATCCTCAAACACAAACTTTCGGCAGGTTCATGTCCCTGAGAGCTCGCATCAAAACCACATCCTGTGAAGAGGAAACACAAAATGACACAATAATGATGAAGGAATAAAAACAAAAGATCAGGAAGGGTTGGAAAAATCTTCAAGGAAAATAATTATTATGTTTGCAAGGATATCAGAAGGGGATCTGTTTGACCTCACACTAGTTTGTCTCTTTTGCATTTCCTGCATTTTCCTCTATGTCTTACTCTTGCATCAAATAGTCAAATACAAAATTCTAAATATTCTCGGGAAGAGAGTAAGTTTCCAATGCACTTTATAAAAATGAAACATCTCTACCTCGTGGAGGTCTGGCGAGCCTCTCTTCAGCTCTCCTGCCATCACGAGCACAGACTTCAGAGCGCGCAGACCAAAGTCATAATGAGACTGCTTGGACAGCTGTTCACGAGCCAGCTTGTACAGTACCGTCATCTTCTTTGCCAGCACCTGAAATGAGCAACAGGGATGAGAAAAAGTAATTTATGAGAAACGACATGTTTAGGTAATGTGGTATAAAGTACGTAAAAATATTTATTTCACACACAGAAGAGAAGGAAGTGCTGCACTGACACACTAGGAAAACAATAAATAATAGAATTTTAAAAAGTACCTGACAACACTCATTTAAATCTTACTCGTTCAAGTAATATTGCAAATTCATGGTTCATCGTCGAATGCTTAAATGAGAGCTTCAGCTGATTGTGAAAATGATAATTGTGTTTGCTGTAGGTGAGTCCTTCACCTTGGCCATGAGGAAGCCCTCAGAGAAGAGCATGATCTCACAGATCTGCTGCAGATCAGGCACAATAACCACAGGC